TCTTGCTGCCCCGCCGCAGGGGGCTCGGGGAGAAAATCCTACGTTACTGCCGGCCTTCAACGAGCACATAGAGGGTAGCCCTAAGATCAGATGGCACACCCCTAGGTTCGCTGGAGCCGATGCCAGGATCTACGACCAATGGATCGATGATCGCTTGACTGACGGCACGATCGCGAAGATCGAGAAGACCGAAGTCAAGGCTCTGCTGAACCCGCATGTCGTGGGCGAAAGAGTGACCCACAACTGCCAATCCTTGTATCCCTACACTAATGATGAGGGAAAATTTCCGAATATGCAAGCTATAGGCCCTGTAGTGGCCTGGGCGGCTGGAAAACGAGAATTGGCGAAGATCGACTTATCAAAGGCATTCCACGCCATTCCGGTTGTGGAAGAGCAGCAATGTTACTATGCGTTCTTAGATCGCAGAGGACAAGCGTATAAGTACCAACGGATGCCAATGGGTGCGATGTGTGCACCTAAGCATTTCGCGGTAGTTATGTCGAAAGTCCTTGGGGATCTTGTTGACAACGACAAGGTCAACGTGCGCTCGTATCAGGACGACATCATAGTAGCAGGTATGTCGAAGGGGGAAGTAGAAGCAAGATACCGGCGGGTAATTACGCACTTGAGACGTTATAACTTTAAGATAAACGCAAAGAAGTCATCCATGAGTGATGACATAGTGATTCTGGGATACCAGTTTTCACCGGACAAGATAAGCATCCCTCAGAAGAAATCTGAGGAGATAAGATTGAAGCTAAGATCATCATGCGCAGCTGATGTAGTGAAAGCGACACATCAGCTAACGTATTATAAGATGATCCTCAAACCCAGCGTTCGAAACACGCTGTTGAAAATAAGACAGATTCTAACCAAGACAAACCAGATTACGAACGTCGCGCAGGACCTGATAGAAGCAGTCGACGTCGAATGGTCGATGGAACGAATCAAACCTGATGATTCGAAGGAGTTGATGATATTTGTGGACGCTTCAGATATGCAGGCGGGCATGGTGGTTATCTACAACGGTCAAACCGTGATGACGGAATCACTGGCCCTTACTAAGACATCGACAACTCTGGCGTCATACA